ATATATTTTCCTATTTGATTTTCCAGATGGAATAAGTATACTCAAGCCCATCAGCAGGTGGTGATTCCTAATCAGGGACCATGCTTGAAGGACTGCCAGGGCTTGGCTGCCGCAGGTTTAGTGATTTCAGCGAGGCCACACAGCCGGAAACATCCAAGGCAGACAGACCAGGACTTCTCAACATCAAAGGACAGTGGAGTCTGATCTTAACATTTCTGAGATCTTACTCTTCCAGCAGGCAACGGCAGGCAGGCAGGACTGATTCATCAAAAGGCATAAGCAGGGGCACCTGAGAGGCTGAGTCTGTTGAGCATCTCACTTCGGCTCAGGTCGAATCATGATTTCATGGTTTGTGAGTTCAAGCCCCACATCTGCCTCATTGCTGTCGGCGCAGAGCTTGATTCGGATCCTCTGTCCCCTGCTCCCTCTGCCCGTCCCCTGCATGTGCTCTCAAAAATAAATAAAACATTTATTTAAAAAAAAGCATAAGCAACCCTGGGAGTCCTAGAGGATACTTGGAGAAGGGAAACCTAGGAAAAGCCTGGACTTTGTCACCCTAGGGTGTACATTTGGCTATAAATATGTGACCCTATTTTATTGTCATAAGTGGTAAGGCTAAGACTCTTACTTTACAAAAGGAAATAGTAGCCAGCTGTGGTTGTCTGCAAGGTTTTTTTTTCCCAGCTATCATCTTACACACGTTTGTTTCCCGTGGCACACACTTGTAATAAATCATAGTGGGAAGAATCTCTGCAGCTGATTCAAAAATATCTGAATATTCCTGGCAATCTAGAAGCCAGGCATTCTAAGGAAAGTAAAATAGGAAATAAAATAGGGAGAATCCAGACTTTCCAGTCAGACAAACTGAGGGTAGAAGGCGGTAAATGGGTTCCGCGGGAGTTCCATAGGCTACATTTGTTTGGGACACCGAGAAGCATTTTAGCAGCACCTCATAAACGAATGCGTCATTACCATTCTTATTATGTTACTGCAGTGTGCCTTTGAAAGAAGTTTCTTGTAGTAAGCTCTGACTTTCTAAGTATTTACATCTTTTTCTTTTTTTAGTGGGGAGGGGCAGAGAGGGAGAGAGAATTCCAAGCATGCTCCGCATGCACAGTGCAGAGCCGGATGCAGGGCTCAATCCCATGAACCGTGAGATCATGACCTAAGCCAAAATCAAGAGTCGCTCAGCTTAACTGACTGAGCCATCCAGGCACCCCTTACATCTGTTTTGATTTTACACGATCAATAAGCACCCCCAAGTACTCTCAATTGCTACCAAGAGCCACTGGGCTCCCTGTCTTAATGCATGTCTCTGTCCCTTGGGAGCATCCTCCTCTAAAACTGGACAGCCTTGGTGGCTGATCTCTTTGGCTCTCCTCCATCTCTCCAAGTCTGAATAGTGATGATTGTAAGTTTCCAATGTTAATCAAGGCTTAAGATATTAAGTCAGCTAAATCAATAAAAGCTTTGTATAATTAAAGTTGAGCACCTCTTTTTGTGCTTGAGAAAAAGCCATAATGATGTCCTTGCTCTTTAGAGAGGGTTGGCTGAAGTCTAAAGATTTTCAATAAGTTCAAACTTCCAAAGAGATTTGCTTCACAGAGAGCCAAAAGAAAAATGATAAAATGAATTTGAGTATATTGGTGAGAACTGTAAAGATAATTACCCACCTTAGTCACGTTCTATCCATTTTCTTTGTCTGCTTTTTTTTTTCCTAAAAAACTAGAAAGGGAATCCAATAAAACAAATCTGAGATAATGGAACAGATCCCTTTATGAAGTGTAAGTTCACTTGAGATATAAATCCAAATGACAGTGCTGTAACTGCCAGCCGATGTTCAAATATTCTAAGTTAGATGCTGAGATGACATTCTATAAAGATATGGATCACTGGTGTTCATAGGCATTTCTCCGTGGGTGCCCTTGGGGTGGCATGGAGTTCTCCCAAGGAAGACCATGGTATGATTCTGGGCACTCTGTTTACAGAGTGCTGCCTTCTATCTGGCTCTGGGCACCCAGGGAGCAGCAGCATCAATGATTGTAATGCTGTTAATAGTACTCATCATATTTAATGAGATCTTGAGAAGCAATGATGGTACCTCATGAATACACACAGCACCCAACTGGCTGATTGGCATATATCAAAAGTCTGTGACATTTTCAATGTTGTACAAAATCACAGAACTATTATTATTGAATATGTGATCCCATGGAGCTTTCAAAACATAGTAGAGTTGTATGTATTTTCAACCTTCTGCATATGCCAGGGACAGTATGCAAAATATTTAACAACCTCTATGGCCCGGTCACCAACCAATCAGACAGATGTCAGTCAACAACAATTCATGCAGCCCCACTTCTGCTTATTAGCTGCACACAGCCCTGCTTATGTTGGGTTCTTTAGAATCTGAGTGCATTCCAGGAGATCTCCCATAGACTGATTACCAATCCTAGGACTAAAATGAGAAGACCAAATCGTTGAGAGGTCTTTAACCTGAACTGTAAAAGGGTATAGAGACATAGATGAAGAATAGTCAAAAAAGAGATGAAAGAAAGGACTGTAAAAAATTATCTTTAAGACCCCTTATAGAACTCTGAATTTTTCAAAGGACAGAATCTCTTGTCAGAGAGAGAAGCCCTATTGTAGCAACAGTTCTGACCATACATGCTTTATGTATGTATTTTGGTAGAACAAATTGAATGAAGGGATCAAATTTTATTGCTAGAGAAAGAGATCATTATTCATCATGAAGAAGTTTAGGTCAGCACGATAGTTTCCAGGATATAAGAGAACAGAGACCTGCTATTCTCCCAAGGGGCTAGGTTCCACTAAGACTCATTTCCTTCCTGAGCATGGAGCCAGACCCAGGGTCTGGAGAGCACAGCAGGAAACTGAAGAGAGCCCAGCTTGTCCTTCCTGTGATGTTATGTAGCAAGAACTGCCCATTCCTCTGTGATACCCATAATTATCCTTACTCAAAGTCAGCTGTGCCTGTGTAGTTTGTACAGTCTGAAGGTCAGGAAGGTGCAGAGGGAAGCGGACCCATCCATTGTGGAGTACCATGTATTACTGAGGCTGGTAAACAAATTGGAAAAGCTTTGAGTAAACAGAGTGGTCAAGGTGGCACTATTATCCGTAATAGAGAAATCTATTGTGGATAAGATGTAGGTCTTACCTTCTCAAAAATAAAAGGACAGATGAGATTAAATAGCCCTCCCCTGATAGATTATAGGGGTACAAATGTGCAAAAGGGATAATAGTCAAAGAACTTTTCTTTTATTTATTAATAGAATGTTAAGAAAATAAACAACGGCGTCTTTTAAGGGTATGATTAAAATAAGAATAGTCTTCTTTTCATAGTATACGTGAACAGAATAGTAAAATAATAAAAAATGGAATTTGTAAGTTAAAACTTTCCCCTCACCCAGCATGAGCCTGTTTAAGAAGATTTTTTTTTTTAAATTTTTTTTAATGTTTTATTTATTTCTAGGAAAGAGAGAGAGACAGTGTGAGCAGGGGAGGGTCAGAGAGAGAGGGAGTCACAGACTGAAACAGGCTCCAGGCTCTGAGCTGGCAGTCAGCACAGAGCCCGACGCGGGCTCGAACCCACGAACCGCGAGATCATGACCTAAGCGAAAGTCGGACGCTTAACCGACTAAGCCACCCAGGCACCCCAAGAAGACTTATTTTTTTAAAGTTGGCTCCATGCCCAGTGTGGAGCCCAGCGTGGGACTTGAATTCATGACCCTGAGATCAAAACCTGAGCTGAGATCCAGAGTTGGACGCTTAATGGACTGAGCCACCCAGGCACCCCTGTTTTAGAAGTCTTTTAACTGTTTAGATGAGATTCACCCGCAAAATGGAAGAAACTCTCCTTTACTTACAGTCAAATGATTGTAGGTGCTAACAACATCTGCAAAATATCTTCATAGCAACACTAGACCATTGTCTGATCAAATAGCTGGGTCGTATATCTTAGTCAAGTTGACATGTAAAGCTAACCATCAGTCTACCTTGTCAACCTGGCACCCGTACCAATCTCCTTAAACCATACTTAATCTGTATGTCAGTTATTGCCCTCCAAAGCTCATCCTTCTTATCTATCTCAGAACAATTGCTATCTAAGGAATTGCCCCAGCAATTCTCTCTGTAGTTCCTGCATCATGAATTTCTCTCTCTACTGGATTCTTCTCATCAGCAGAAAAACACACATTATTATCCCCATATTAAACGCCCCTCTTCTAAGTAACTGCTAATGGGTACAAGTTTCCTTTTGGGGTACTGGAAATGTTCTAAAATTGATTTCGGTGATGGTTACACAATGCTGAATAAACTATATACTAGAAATCATTGACATGTATACTTGAAATGCTGTACACATATAAATGAATTGTATGTATGTGAAGTGTATCTCAATAGAGCTATTATTTAAAAAGATAAAGCTGGCAGATATGATACCCAAATATTTGAAATTGGGTAGAATAAGTTGCAATCCTGTTTCAACGACTTTAATGGAAGATCTGAAAATATTTGCAAATGTATCCTATGAAAATGATGTATGTAGCATCTATTCATTAATAGAAATATGATAAAGTAGAAAACAGAGATAGAAGATAAAAGTACATTCGTTAAAAAAAGCTCTCTCTTGACACCACTCCTTCCAGGTGCCATTTTATTCCTCCCCTTCCCTTTGCACCCAAAGTTTAAGAATTGTCTCTACTGCTTTTCTCCAATCCTTCTTTTCCAACATTTATTGGATTTACTCCATTCAAAGTATCACCACACCACTTCAATAAAACTGTCTTCAGGGACACCAGCAACCTCCATGTAGTTATATCCGATGGTCATTTCTCAGTTCTGATCTTACTTGTCCTATCAGTCGTCTTCAACAGTTTGCCTACCGTTTCCTTATTATCCTTGCTACACAGCTACAATAGTGCAGTGTAACAAATCATTCCAAACCTCAGTAGTTGAAAACATTTATTTTGCCCATTCACCTGTGGGTCACGTGAGGGGTCTTCTGATCTGGGCTTGGCTCAACAGAGGCTGGGCTCCAGGCAGCAGGATGGGCTCAGGTCTTTCTTGGGCCAGCGAACTTACGAGGCCATGCTTCTAATCTCTTGTTGATGACAGACTGCAAAAAGGCAAGTGGAAACATAGGATGTCTGTAAGGTCTACACTCAACTGACACTGGCTTTTCCACCTAAATCCCATCAGCCAAAGAAAATAGTGTCTTTGAGTTCCAAAGCAAAGGACCCTTAAATATGTTCTATCTTTAGGGGGAATACTTATGGCAAAGAGCATGGAAACAGGGAGGGATGAAGACTGGGGGTCTTTAATTTAATGCACTATTTTGATCCACCTCATTGGTTTCCAGAATTGTACAATCTACTAGTTTTACTCTTACCCTTGGGCTGCTCCTTCTCAGCAGTGGAATTGGAATGTCTCAAGGATCAGTCCTTAGACTTCTTCTGTAGCTATAGTGGTTCTTGTGGTGATCTTCTTAGCTTTATGGTTTTAAAAATTGTCTATATTTTGATGGCTCCCCGTTTGCATTTTCACTCTGATCTCTCCCCTGAACTCTAGATCATATACCCAACTGTCTACATTTGAATGGCTAATAGTAATTTTAAATGCAGTGTATCTATTTTTTAAATGTATTTTTTAATGTTTATTTATTTTTGAGAGACAGAGGGACAGAGCATGAGCAGGGGAAGGGCAGAGAGAGAAGGAGACACAGAATTCGAAGCAGACTCCAGGCTCTGAGCTGTCAGCACAGAGCCCGACGCGGGGCTTGAACTCACAAACCGTGAGATCATGACCTGAGCCGAAGTCAGACACTTAACCAACTGAGCCACCCAGGTGCCCCAAATGTCACATATCTGAAAAGAAAATCTTGATCTTTTCCTTAAGCCATCCCTTATGTATGTCCGCCCAATGGCAACTCTCTCCTTCCAGAGTCATTCTTCCCTTTTCGTCACCATCATCTCATATTTTAACAGCCTCTTCCTTCCTAGAGTCTGTTTTTGATATAGTAGCTGGAGTAAGATTTTAAGAAAATGCATCAGATAATGTCATTTTTCTGCTCAAAATTCTTCAATAGCCCCCCCAACTTACCCCTGGACTTTAAAGCCCTGTGCAATCTGATCTTCTGTTATTCTTTGACCCTATTTCTTTTCCCCTTCTCATTAACTCTGCTCCAGCCACATGAACTTCTCTGATGTTCCTTGAATATGCCAACTATCTCCTGCCCCAGGACCTTTGTATTTGTTGCACCCACTTCCTGGAACTCTCCTCCCCCCACTATACCCATGCTTACTCCTTAAGCTCATTCACATCCTTGCTCAGATGTTACCTTTGCAATGAGACCTGGCCTAAATACATTTTATTTATTTATACCACATTTTAAATTATAATCCTTATCCCCCTCACCCTGGTTTTCCCAGCTTTTTTTTCTGTAGTATTACTTATCACCACCTGACAGACCACAGATTTTACCTATTTGTTATCTATTTCTCCTACGCAGAGATATAAGTTTCATGACAGCAAGAACTTTTGTTTTGTTCTGTATCCTCAGAATGTGGGATTGTGCTTGGCACTTGGTATGTACTCAGTAAATATTTGATGAATGGTGGGATGGATGGATATGTGGCATTGAAGAATTTGGTTAACCTGCATAGTGATATTTAATCTGCTTCATTCACTGTGGTTGAACTTAATGATTACTCAGACTGACCTGACATACCTTAAATGTCTCGATAAAAAGTGACTACCTGCCAAGTGTTATTAGCATCATGGGTACGGATGGAATCATCCAGGAAGTACATACACATGGAGGAAAGAAGAGGGCAAGGATTCCCTTGTTCTTCCTCTTTCCACTTGTCTGGCTACTTTCTATTCTTCCTTCAAGCACCACATTTAGTATAAGCCATTTCCAGTAAAAACACTGGGGCTATGGGAGGAGTGCTTTCACCTGTGAAGAGAATTGGTATCTCTGCAAATCAGGGCAAAACAAATATCCAGGGGAGATGTGGGTCTCACTGTGAGCATAGACATTAATTCCAGTTCTGGAATTCATACAAAGGTGCTGGAGTTACCATAGAAGGTGGTGTAGGGCAGGGGCTAAAAGCCCAGTCACCAGAGCCAAAATCCCTAGGCTCAAACTGTGGCTCCACACTTAATGGTCATGTGACCTTGGTAAGCAACCTGAATTTTCAGTTCCGCATTTTCTCATCTGTGCAATGCATTTAATAACAATAGCTACCTGATAGAGTTATTGGAAAGACTAAGTTGTTTAATGTCGATAAGGCACTTAGGACATTGTGTGTGTGTGTGTGTGTGTGTGTGTGTGATTTATATATGACATGGAGCAGGTACTGTGTAAATGACAGTGATAATGGTGCTATTTGGGGCTAGGATCTCAGTGCAATATGGAGTTATTGCTTCCTTGCGTGCAAACCCAGGACTGGACTACACACTGCTTTGTGTCTCCAGGGTATTCTGGATGCACCTTTTGGAACACTCCCAGTATTGTGTTGATGTTACCTGTTTATGAATCTGTCTTCCCTACTGGACCATAAACATTCAACATTTAGGGCCAGGTCTAATTCATCTTGGTAATCCACCTGATATGGCACATGGCACATAGAAAACACTCCGTGTCTCTGGGACCAGGACCTTAACCGGGTAAAGCCAACTAGTTACAAACTAATAAAAGAAATGATGGGGGAATAATTGCCCTCTGGCAATACCAAGTGGCAGCCACTATGCCATGTTAGCCTATCATCATGCAGAAAAGTGGGCTGGGTGCTTTGTATCAATTCATTTTCCAACAAATGCATTAGTTTTCTTTTGCTGCCATAACAGATTATCACACATTGAGTAGCTTCAAGCAACATGAACGTATTATTTTATAGTTCTGCAGGCCTTAAGGATGGCATGGGCTTTGCTGGGTTTAACTTAAGATGTAGGCAGGGCTGCATTCTTTTCTAAATGAATGCTAAAGGAGCATTCATTTCCTTCCCTTTGCACCTTCTAGAGGCTGCCCACATTCCTTGGCTTGTGGCTCCCTTCCTTCGTCTCCAAAACCAGCAATGGCTGGTTGATTCCCTTTCACATTGCTTCTGACAATGTCCTTTTCCGCCTCCCCTCTGCACGTTTCAGAATTCCTGTGATTACATTAGGACCGCCTACAAAATCTGGGAAAACCCCCTCCTTTAAGGTCAGTTGACTAGCAGCCTTAATTCTATCTACCACCTTAAATCCACAGGTTCCGGGGATTAGGACGTGGATATCCTTGCGGTGCCATTATTTGGCTTACCACAAGGCGGAAATATGGATATAAAAATTAACTGTGGATTGCTCTATTGTTTTCTCTGATGCAGGGCCTTTCATTCACTGGGTTTGTTGTTTCTCTCACACTGTTGGCCCTTCTCACATGCTCGCGGATTTATGGTAAGCTCATCTTCTGTGGGAGATTCCTTCTGCAAACATCCTGTTTCTCAGTGACTTCAGGACCATGGCTGCTGGGTTCTTATGAGATGGTCCCCCATACAATATCCGCAGTGGTTTCTCAGCACAGGGAGTGGGGCAGAATCTTTTGAGGGAGAAACCTACATACTTCCCTTCTGAGGTGCCCTCTTTTTCGATCTCCACCTCCCCCATGCCTGACTGCAGCCAAAAGGGATGGTATTTGCACTTCCCCAAATGTAAGAAGCCCTTTCAGTTTCCAAGCTTACTAGACCTTCCTTTAAAACACTGCAAAGCAAAAAAAGAAGTAGGTGGAAGAGGCTGGATACCAATGTCATTGGGTGAAAAGAAACCCGCTTTTTGTTGGGCTGGCAAAACTGGTCACATCTCCCAGGAAACCTTTAACATTCCATTACCAGAGGCCTTCCCCAGTTCTTGATAATAGGAGCTGACATTTACTTGTAATTTTCCATGACTTTTATTTTATTTTTTAAAATTTTAGTTAATTAACATACAGTGTTATGTTTCAGGTGTACAATGTAGAGATTCAACAATTCTATACATTACTCAGTGCTCATTGCAATAAGTGTATTCCTTTTTTTTTTAAATTTTATTTATTTCTAGGAGAGAGAGAGAGAGAGAGACAGCATGAGCAGGGGAGGGTCAGAGAGAGAGGGAGACACAGACTCCGAAACAGGCTCCAGGCTCTGAGCTGGCAGTCAGCACAGAGCCTGACGCGGGGCTCGAACCCATGAACCGCGAGATCATGACCTAAGCAAAAGTCGGATGCTTAACCGACTAAGCCACCCAGGCGCCCCTGCAATAAGTGTATTCCTAATACCCTTCACTTATTTCACCCATCCTCCTGCCCCAATGCGAACCATCAGTATGTTCTCTATAGTTTAGAGTCTGTTTTCTGGTTTGTCTCTTTTTTCTTTGTCCATTTGTTTTGTTTCTTAAATTCCACATATGAATGAAATCATATGATATTTGTCTTTCTCTGACTGGCTTATTTAATTTAGCATTATACCCTCTAGATCCATCCATATTGTCACAAATGGCAAGATTTCATTCTTTTTTATGGCTGAATAATGTTCCATCAGTATATACACCACATCTTTATTCATTCATATATCAATGGACACTTGGGTTACTTCCATAATTTGGCTATTGAAAATAATGCAGCAATAAGCATAGGGGTGCATATATCTTTTCGAATAAGAGCTGACATTTACATAGCATTTGTCATGTGCCAGAAGCTGTTCTAAGCACTTGGTATAGATCAATTCATTTACTTCTCACAACAAAGCTTTATATATCTGCCTTGCTGGTGGGTTTACAGAGGGTTAAATAACTTTTCCTGGATTGCTCAATGTCTTCTGAGCAACAACATCAACACAAAGACAAGATGAGAAGGAAGTAGACAATCCTATGAGAAGTTGCACACAAATATCATTTAACTCAAACAACTTTTACTCATTTATTTCTCTCAATGAGCCAAGCAAAACTGCAAGAAAGCAAAAGGAGATAGCTGGTGAAGCCCTCCCCCCTCCCCCCCCCCCCCTACTAGGAGACTGACTAGTGTCTCTCAATGGCTTGGCTGCCACTTACTCCAGCCAGTAGGTCTGGTGGGCTCTGCTTGCCAAGGTCTTTACTCCAGTCTTCACTGGGGGTCAGGTCATGGTCACTATGTGGTAGTCTGCAACTCCTGACATCCTGACAGTTGAGGATATGTGTTCATTATGGCTTGGCTGGCTAGCCCCATGCTCTGTCTGGGGACGCTGAGCACCCTGGGTTTTCCTCACCGTCTATTGCTTTGCTCTTCCATCAGCTCTATTCAGGTTAGCAATACCCAAACTTGCATAAGCCATTGCACCATTACATGTGCATTATTAGCTAGTTATGCCATTATCAATACATTCCAGAACATTCAAGAACTTTTCTAGACTTGTTTATGATTTTGGGGGGATATCAGGTATTTCTCTTTTTTGAGGAGGAAGCTATATGCTAACCCGTAATACACACACACACACACACACACACTTTTAATTACTTTTGTAAAAAATGCTTACAAGGAAACGAATGTTTTGGTGGGAAAGCTTGTTTACCACTTTTTTAAAGCACAGCAAATAGGTTTTTATATATTTCTGTTAAAATGTAGGATGATCTCTGTTAAAACGTAGGATGTGGTATCCTTTAATCACATATAATTAGTGACAAAGCTAGGATTCATATCCATGCAGTCGAAATGCAGAATCCATGTACGTTTTTTGTTACTTTACTTTTTTAAAAGTTTATTTATTTATTTTGAGAGAGAGAAAAAGAGAGCAGGGAAGGGGCAGAGACAAGGAGGGAGAGAGACAGAATCCCACATGGGGCCCGAACTCAGGAAGCGTGAAATCATGACTTGAGCCGAAATCAAGAGGTGGACACTTAACCGACTGAGCCACCCAGGTGCCCGCAGAATCCATTCTTTACTACTATATTATATTGCTTTCCTGCCTGGAATTAATACTTCACATTGAAGTGACTAGTCTCAAATATACAGACCACACCAGGAGAAAACCTAAGTTATCGGAGGGCAGACTATAAATGTCTTAGGAACAGTAACCAGAGACCCTGCTATGGAAGAGCTATCTTCTAAAGCAACTGAAAATCTAATAAATTAGCATATAGGGGTATTAAATTACTATAATTTTCTTGCATTGTAATAAGTTGTTTAGCTTTTCCATTTAATGAAACTTTCTCAGATACCATGTGGTTAGCATGATTGAAGCTGTTGGAATCTTTGTACATCTATGGCTTTACAAGATAATATTCTCCTGGGTTTCTGAATAGCAATGCAGCTAAAGTTTCTGTCAGCTTATTACTACTTTCATAGAGAAATCTGGGCTGTGGGCATAATGGCTATTTCTGACTTAAGAATAACATCTTCTAAGGCCAAGGTGAGGAAATGGCACTGACTCAGCTAAACTATAGCTCTAGTTGTGCTTCAGAGTTTGCAGAGAAGGCTTTGCTCAGAGCATGGGAGCACAAGTGGACTTAGTAGATCTAAAATTCTACCAGTGAACCTGGATCTGCGGCAGATCAATGAGAAGTACTTGGATGCAATAACCACAAGAAGTCTAGTTGAAATTTGGAAACTGTGCAGGTTTATGACTGTGTAACTTATGAAGTATGTTCATATGATCCCTCTGGGGGAAAAACAAACATTACATCAGAGTCCAGAAGGCGAGTGCCCTTTGAGCTGGTGGCTCTTTCTTTTGTGTCAACAATAATGCTCCAGAGAGTGCTATGTACTCACATTTTTATACCACGTGGACATTATTTTTCTGAAAATATGTTTAAAAGTGATAGGGTGCCACATAGTTTTGATTCTCAATAATTCTTGGAGGTAGTCAAGGCCTGTATAAAATCTTGAATTTTCAGATGAAGGAACAATTAAACCTGATCTTTCTTTGTTTAAGACTCCTGTTACATGCAAAATGTTGGCTATTTATTCCTAGCCACTATTTTTGCCACCAAGGCAGTTGTAAGGAGATAGCATCGATAGTGGCTATGAGTTCCTATTAAACCTTATGTATGCCACGTAAGAGAATCAAACTAACACTCGAGAAGTGCTTACAAAACACCCTTTAATCCTCATGACAATGCTGCAATAAAATCAGAATTTTTGAATGACAGAGCTGAAGCATATCTACCAAGATTAACCAACTAATAATAGTCAGAGATCTGATTCAAGCCCATTTGACTTCAGGCTTTGCTCTTTTCATTAGAGTACAATGCATCCCTCATGGAATTGCATGTAGCTGTAAAAGATTAGGTAATGATATCTGCCCTTTCCTGTTTAGAGCTCAACATTAGTCCATATAAACCTCACCCTTATAAATACTTAATGTTAAGTACCTTTACTACTTTACCACTGGAAGGGGGAAAGGCAATTTCCAATTGATCGAATGCATTTTCAGACCTAGTTTACCAGTAGAATAGTTTCAGGCAATTTGGCCTGTTTCTCTTTATCCAGCAGAAATTTTATTATTTTATACTGATAAACAGACACAGTAGATGCATTTCAATTAGGGTAAACATTACTACTTCTCTGATCTATGAGTAATTGGACATCAGGTGCCCGGTGGGATATTTCTTATGCCTCCCGTTCAGGAAGAAGGCCATAGTCAAGGGGGTGCAACGTGAATTGGAGCAACTAATGTATTATGTTGATAAATCCTTTTCTCCATACTATCCAGTGCTGTGCAATAAGATGCAATACCAGGAGTGGAGCACCTGGGTGCTCAGTCAGTTAAGTATCCAGACTCTTGATTGCAGCTCAGGTCATGATCTCACAGTTTTTGTGAGTTTGAGCCCTGCTCCTGACAGTGCAGAGTCAGCTTGGAATTCTCCCTCTCTCCTTCTGCTCCTCCCCTACTTACGCTCTCTCTGTCTCTCTCAAAACAAAGAAATTTAAAAAAAAATTCAAAACCAGAAGAATGTGTATTGTGGGCAGATGGTAGTTATACTGATGGAGTTTTCCTATCCAGCCACACATTTCTGAACAATGGCACAAATTTGTAAAACAGATGCATACAGTTGAAAGTTATAATCTGTAATCCCAGATGAGATGATAACAAGTGTCACTCATGATATTATGTTACTGACCTTGTTTTATGTAGATAGTATTCCTAAATAAACCTATTTACTTAGGTGGGAATATTAACCTCACAGTAATTATATTTAATAATGAACATATGAAACAATACCTGATCTAACATTCTGCAATGTCCAATTTCTACTTGACCCATGCAATCTTTGTCCTTTCTTAAGACACAACCTCCATCTATGTCCCCTCTGTTGGAATAATGCTGTTTGTTTAAACTTCCACAATGCATAGTTGACTGTTAAATAGGGGCAGGAAATGGACACTGTTCTGAGATGATCTCATGTGCTGACACATCTCTTCCATGACAGATCCAAAAATAGGTACAGGTGGAGGAAAGAGAGAAAAAGTAGTTGCTAAAGAATGGCATCTGAAGGTGAATGACGGATAGCAGTCAAGTTTTTATCTTAGTTTGGGAGGGAGAGAACAGAAGCGAGAGTTACTGGGGAAGAAAGGTTCAGCTAAAAAGAATTCAAAAGGAACGTATTCATAATTATTTGAGTCGAACTTTAGGCAAGAAATAAAAGTACAGAGATAAAAGCATAGAAAAATCACAATTTTAATAGTTAATAGTTACTGAACTATTAATTCGATTTTGCAGAGGAGGCCGTGAGATGCAGTGGTTATGCAGCTTGCCCAAATTTACACAGCTAGTAAATTACAAAGTTTGAAATCCGATCCCGGCAATCTGAACCATTAATTAATTAATTAATTAGTTAATTATTCTTTATTTTGGGAGAGTGTGAGCAAAGAACCTCAAGCAGGCTCTGCACTGCCAGCACAGAGCCCCATGCAGGGCTGGAACTTAGGAGCCGTGAGATCACAACCTGAGTCAAAGTTGAGTCCCACGCTGAACGGACTGAGCCACCCAGGCGCCTCCTGAACCACTATTTTAAAATGGAGTATTAACAAAGTGGACAGAGCGAGAATACTTACAGGAAGGGACATAAAGACCAAGGGAATAACGGGGGGGCGGGGGGGGAGGGGAAAGGAAGACGGTAGAGGGGCAAAGATGGGTGGGCTCCGTGAAAAAAAATTACCAATGGGCTAAATATAGTTATGTTTTAGTACCAGTCAGAGCGCTTGTGTACATTTGTTCACATAATTCCGCTAACAATTCTGTGAGGTAGGTACTCGGAGTTCCATTTCTCAGACGAGGCCACCTGAGACATGATAAATGATACAGTACCTTCTTGCACTGAATTACGCCTCAGTGGCACGCTGTGGAGCAAGATACGGAAGACTGAGGAGACGTGGCGACAGAATCGAGCAGGGCAAGGCAAGCAAGCTGAAAGCGACAATGGAGGAAAAGTGACCCATTTACAGAGTGGTCGGTTCCAACTTTCAAATCTCCGTAGTCGACCCGCCAAGGCGTCACAAAGCCCGCCCCTTAGTCACAAAGCCACGCCCCATTCCGTGGCTGTTCTCTGAGCTCCCAATACTTCCCTCCTTCTCTTTGGCCCCGCCCACTCTGCCCAGCATCATTTCCTGTGCGCTGGATGCTAATTGGTCTAGCGGTCGGAAGTGAGGGCGGGCGGTGGGGCCGTTGCCGCAGTGACAGTGCTGGGGGAGTCCGAAGATGGCGGCGTCGCGTCGCTCTCAGCATCATCACCACCATCATCAACAACAGCTCCAGCCCGCCCCAGGGGCTTCGGCGCCGCCGCCGCCACCTCCCCCCCCACTCAGCCCTGGCCTGGCCTCGGGGACCACCCCAGCCTCCCCAACGGCGGGTGGCCTGGCCCCCTTCGCCTCCCCGCGGCACGGCCTAGCGCTGCCGGAGGGGGATGGCAGTCGGGATCCGCCCGACAGGCCTCGATCCCCGGAGCCGGTTGACAGTACCAGCTGTTGCAGTACCACCAGCACAGTCTGTACGGCTGCCGCCGCCCCCGTGGCCCCGGCAGTTTCCGCTTCATCTTCCGTCGGGGTCGCTTCCAACCCAGCCGGCGGTGGCAGTAACAATTCACCGTCGTCCTCGTCTTCCCCGACTTCTTCCTCATCTTCCTCTCCATCCTCCCCTGGATCGAGCTTGGCGGAGAGCCCCGAGGCGGCAGGAGTTAGCACCACAGCAACATTGGGGCCTGGGGCAGCGGGACCTGGGCCCGGGGTCCCAGCAGTAAGCGGGGCCTTACGGGAACTGTTGGAGGCCTGTCGCAATGGGGACGTGTCCCGGGTAAAGAGGCTGGTGGACGCGGCAAACGTGAATGCTAAGGACATGGCCGGCCGGAAGTCTTCTCCCCTGCACTTCGCTGCAGGTCAGAGACTTTGTTTATTAAGGGTTTTGGTCTTGGGGACAGGGGTCTGGGTAGGGATAGAAAACAAGTTATGATAGACAAAAATGGGGGCGTGGTTATGGTTCCTCGACCCCTCACCGGAAGACTAGAGGTCCCTTTCTTTAGCTTAGTGCCTGGATGACGGGGGCGTGGTGGGGGAAATGTGTGAATCCATTCTTTTTTAGCGTTCGCCCAGGGGTCCCTGTGCTTGTTTCCAAACTCCCTTAGAGGTAGTCTCCAGATATGGGTATACTTAAACTTTTTGGTTACGAGTGTGAAGGAGTAAAGTTAGGTTTGGGCAGTCTTAAGAGTTTTGTCGTTTGTTTGCTAGTTTATTTCGTTTTTACAACAAGGGTATGTTGCATGAGGATAGCCTAGACCAAAAGAAGTTTACTGTAATTCAACAAGTGTTTAAGGATCTATGGTACTTTTAGTAAGCCAATGAAAGGCATAAATGAAGTATGTGAAACTTTTCCTCTTTCTCAAGGAGTTTACAGTCTAATTGGGTAGATTAAAATATGCCTATATGAAACAACTGGAGAAGAATATTTGGGTGCATTATGTGATGGTAGAAGAAATAAAGGCTTTGAAGTCCTAGATACTTCTCTATTTGTTACTTGTGTCACAGACAGTTTACTTTATCTCAATTGCCTCAGTTTTCTTGTGGGCAAAAACGATATACTAAGTTTGTGTGAGAAGCATCTGGCACATTAGTTTTACAGAAAAACTCTACTAGTTCTTAAACTCTGGATCACACACTTTCTGTCTTCTTCTTTTTTCATTTTATCAAGTAGTTGGCCGTTGTCTTTTAAAAATACCTAATATACTTGTATAAAATACAGAGTAGTATTTTAAAAAGGACCATAATCTCACTTCCCAGATATCTACTATTGATGTAAAATAAAGGTAATAAGGTTATATACATTCGAAACATTAAAAGCGTGTATGTTATATATACATTATAAAATTCATACAGGACAGAAATGTACAAAATGAAAAAGCACCACACACACACACACACACACATCAAGGATAACATACCAAAGATAACTCCTGTTAAGTTTCTTGCAGTGTTAGTAATATGTATCACTCTTTTGATTTGTACTATTTATGGTAAGAGATATGTTATGAACTTACTATGTGTATTACATATTTTTACCCCAACTTGAAAGATATTATTACCCTCATTTTACAGATGACAGAAGTAAAGCACATATTATTTTTTAAAAAGTCCAAATTCACACAGAAAATCATGGAACCTGCATTTGAACTCCGTGTGATTTTACAGTTTGTGAAATGAAGCTTAAACTATTAAAACCAATATCTGGGTTAAAGTCACTTTTCATTTTGTGAGTGGGTGTGATGGAAAGTTTCTGCTTTTGCGGTGTTTTGGGGGGAGGAAGTAACTGGGGACATGAACTCTAAGAGCATTCACATGTTCTTTATTGCAGCCTATACTTAGAAATCTAGTTTACATTGTCTCACACACACAGAAACTGAATCAAAAGCTTTGGGAAATACTACTTTCTTTTTTTACATGTGTGGTCTTCTTATGTTTTATATACTATTCCACTTCAGTTGTTACAAATGCTGTTTGTGGTTTGTTAGTGGGTCATGATCAGCAATATGAGAAAGAGAAAATCATTATTAGATTATTAGATCTATTTTTGATGTATAGACACTTAATAGATAGTGTCGGTACTATTAGGTATTTAGTGTATTGAATCATAAACAAGCCCATATAACTAGATATTTGCTCAAGAGTGTTGCTTATTTTAGATGAAATAACGTTTCTTTTTCTTTAAGTCAAATGAAAGATCTTATAAGTCTGATATAATAAATCAACTGAGGCTTTCTCTTGCATGCTTTGTTCCAAATTTGTCTATTTTAGCCAGTGTCACAAACCTTGTCATTCCTCACTGTACCCCATTGTAAGTAATCATTAACAGAGGATAGTTAGGTTTACTTCTGTGATAATGTACTTATTTAGGATTAGTCACACATAAAACAGTGCTTGTCTTCTAAATCAACTTCTTCTGTTTGCTATAATAGTTACTCTTTATGCTGTTTCAGAGTTTTATGAGTCCCCAGATAAGTTATAAGACAATTACACACAGCCCTGTAACTATATTGTAATTATGCGAACCTGACTTTGAACTGGTTTTTTTTTTTAAGAAAATTTATTTAGTTTGGTTGTGGAAAACAGATAAAAACAGTAAAACTCTACATAGTATAAAAACATAACACTCTGCAGTCAGTTTACCATGCTTTCCTGTTCGCGTGTATAGCATAGTGACAGATGAGTAGTTAGGAACAATTCTCAGTTGACTCTTGGTTAGAATGCTAGTAATGGGATTGCCATAGATAAGCTGTTTTAAAGAGGAAATTGGAACAGTCCCTTGGACGGAAAAATTTTAAAATTGTAATTCGTTTGTTCCACAAATGTTTTGTTACTTGTTATAGGTCATTCAATTTTGTTGTAGTAGGTAGTCCTTGTCCTTACGGAGCTTACAGTCCAATAGGGAAGAGTAAACAAGAACAGCAGTGATAACAAAATCCCGTAAAGTTGTGTAACTTGGAGTTATCGGAATATACTTCTGTGGAGGAGGCAGTAGGGATTCTTGTCCTGGTTTTAGAGCATTTAAGGAAGTCTTTTTAGATAGAAAGGGATTTAAAGGATGAGTCCAATCTAGCCAGTCAAAGATTGAAAAGGAAGTATGTTAATTAATGCCATTTAGAAATGAGTTTACAGTTGTATAGAATGAAACGAAACCATTCTGAAGATCTCAAGTGGTATGAAGTCATATTTAAATCCTTACAACTATTAATATTAAAAAATTGTTTATTTATTTTGAGAGAGGGAGGAGAGGAGCAGAGAGGGAGGGCTTCTGTGCAGTTAGTGCAGAGCCCTACTTAGGGCTTGAACCCATGAAACATGAGGTCATGATCTGAACTGAAACGAAGAGTCTGGGGCTTAACCCACAGAACTACCTGGGAACCCCTAAATCCTTATAACTTTAAAAATATTATCATAATTCTTTCTAGAGGCAGAATTAAACATTTTTTTCTATTCCATTTTAGACTGTGATAATTATTTAAAATATGGCTTAGACACAATAATGGAATCACTCTATCCACAATTAGAAACGTAATCTCCAGTTTCCATTGTTTATGCAGGTTCTCAAAATACTGTTTCTAATGCCTTCTTAAGATGGCCATATCAAAAGGATCCAGTCTTTTTATTGTTGACTAGAGTTTATATAAGATTTTCTCCTGCAAATAAGATCCTTGGCCGTGATTTTCTATTATTTAAAGGATAGCAGTCAGGGGCGCCTGGGTGGCTTAGTCGGTTAAGCGTCCGACTTTCGCTTAGGTCATGATCTCGTGGTTCATGGGTTCAAGCCCCGCGTCGGGCTCTGTGCTGACTGCCAGCTCAGAGCCTGGAGCCTGTTTCAGTCTGTGACTCCCTCTCTCTCTGACCCTCCCCTGCTCACGCTGTCTCTCTCTCTCTCCTAGAAATAAGTAAAACATTAAAAAAAAAAAAAAAAAAAATAAAGGATAGCAGTCAAAGCTTTATAAATAGTATCAATTTGGAGTGCTCAGTTCATTTCCTAGTAGTGACATATTTTTGACCAGTATGTTCTCATGTGATCTCTATTAAAGTTTAGATGGGGTCTTTTAAAAAAGGGCTTTAACAAAGCATTGAATTCTAAGATTTTTGTAGTATTTAAATTGATGCTTTGAAATAGGCTTCCTAAGTAGTTCCTAAGGCACTTCAGTATCAAAACCAGCAAAATATGTATGGCAGTTTTATACTTTCTTTTGACTTTGATGGTACAAATGAAGTTCCTACACCTGAAAAAAGGACACATAAAAAGCAGCCTGTTTCCTGAACTGTTGCCCATCGATGGCTAAGAAAATGAGTCAGAACGCTTCAGTCCTGGGGTGAGAATCTTCATTAACATTGATTGGCAAGCTCCTTGATTATACTTTCAAGCAAATACCCTGCTTCAGAGTTTAAGAAGGGTCTAATTTGTAAAAGGAACTAGCTTCAATCTTCCCATTTTGTCTTTTATTTAGTGTTTTCTTAAAGCCTTCTGCTTTGTTTAAGGTCCGTTAAAAAAAAAAGTTATATTGAGCTTTTAGTTAGAAGATGTGGTTGGTAAATTTCTCTTTCTTCTACTTTAACTGTGTCACTCTCTGGAGGCAAGGGATTTAAAGAACAAAATAGCTATGTGTAAGATGTTATATAAAACTAGTCAACAATAGAGGAGTATTTATATAACTAATTTCTATTATGTATGTAATTTCTATTACATATGTATATGCTTGTATATTCTTCTATCAATCTATTTTTGGGGGGCAGGTCAGTATAAATTGCAAGTATTTGTGCACCTTCCCTAAGTGTGCCAATATATGCATATTATTATCTAGAGTTCAGTGTTTGTTACCAAAGTTGTGTTTTGATGTAAAATCTGTACAAATCTTATTTGTACATTCACTGAGTTCTTTTTAACTAATTTATTTAACTTTATTTATTTTGAGAGAGAGAGAGTGTGTGTGTTTGTGTGTGTGTGTGTGTGTATGTGTACGTGCAAGCTGGGAAGGGGCACAGAGAGAAGGAGAGAGAATACTAAGCAGGCCCCTCACTGTCAGCACTGAGCCAGTCGCAGGGCTCAGTCTCATGAATTGTGAGATCACAGCCTGAGCTGAAATCAAGAGTTGGGATGCGTAAATGACTGAGTCACCCAGGCGCCCCCATTCACTGAGTTTTGACAAATGTGGCACCTCAAACCCTTATGGAGAGTCGTCATAACCTCAGAAAGTTCCTTCATGTCCATTCCCTCAATCCCTGACCCAGATACAAATATTGTTCTTTTTGTCCACTCTAGGTTATAAATTGCCTGTTTTAGAAGTTCATAAAAATGGAGTTGTATAATATCTACTCTTTTCTGTAAGATGTATTTTTCTCAGCTGATGTT